CACTAACTATTTGACAGCATGCCTTTTTTCCCTCTATTGACCAATACCCCTTCCACCAAAACCTGCTAACCCATAGTTTACCAAACTATACAACTCGTTTAGATTCTTTCTTTTATCTTAAACTAGGCACCTCACCAGCCAAATTTGGCCCTCCAGTCCATTTCCAATAACACCAGCTATCAAAATGCCCATATAACCCTATTTCTTTAACCAACTTTGGCCCTCCACCCATTTTCATCACCACCTGAATGTCATCCACTGGGAATTTGACAGGTTTCTTTTATGTGCTACGAAAAAGAGAATAACATGTTGCGCAAGCAGTCAAACCATAGGCAAAAATAAGATCCTATGCAATAGGGTATTCTAAGTATGCTTGATGCATTTCAAAAGAACCTTGAAAACTCTGCTGCTCCTCCATATAGCTCAATTTAACTACTGAAGACTAAGATAAAAGGAGTAAAAATCCTGAAAGATACTTCCGCATGCAACTAAAAATACTTTCTTTTCAAGTTTTCACCTCCTGAAGACTAAGATAAAAGGAGTAAAAATCCTGAAAGATACTTCCACATGCAACTAAAAATACTTTCTTTTCAAGTTTTCACCTCCCAACTCAACCTTGCTCAGAAGAAGATATAGGAAAATTAAGATTTAGTCCTCCTTTCAAAGAATTTTGAAGCAAGCAAGGAATCCCAAACTGATTCAGAATACATCCCCAATGCCAGAATATCTATGGTGAAGAAAAATTCAAAGTCGGAGTCAAGAGGCGAATTCAAAAGAAATTTAATCAATTATATAGATAAGGTTATACACGTTGTCTTGGCATACATAAATAACCAAATAACTATCACCATGCACAATAAGACTGGTTCCGTGCAAGCATAACCAGTGACCGGGCTTAACACATGATCGAAATGTTTTCAGCCATAGCAACCAAAATATAACAGAAAATCATGTCAAACATACAAGAAATTTAAATCCCAAACCAAAATAAGATTCAAAAAGAATACTTTACCATGTCAACCACGGTTTGGCTAGAAAGGAACTCGAAAACCCCATCGCTGGCAATCACAAAGAAAGGATGATCTTTTGTGACCTCTAGGACAACAATTTCAGGGTTCGCAACAACCCCAATTGTCTCAGCAATAGAATCACCTATACTTCTCGTAAAAGCTGTACCAGGATACATACCATTTTGTACCCAAAGCCTAGGAGGATCACCATCATCCCCTTCCTCAGTACCCCAACATTGCACCTCTGGATTCCTCAATCCTTCAATCTGATCCAAAGTAAGAACTCTTGCTCCAAACATCTTAACGCGTTCAAGTTCATCAGCACGGAATGGAGTTTGATCTATTGAAAGATCAACAGCTACAATATCCTTCCCTCTTTTCTCGGCTATAACAGCCCTTGAATCACCTGAATTAGCAACATAAATCGTCCTGCCCCGGACCAATATTGTAACTGCAGTTGTCCCACTCATGCTATCATCCAAAGTATCAGCATGCAACTGCGAATTTGTGGTCAAGAATGCATCATGACAAGCCTCAACAGCATCCACATGAAATCTACTATGTCGAAGCAAGTTTTCACATAATTTTCGCTTCACAAACTGCGAGCATTGGGCCCCAAATTCTCCATGCCCATCGAAAACCCCAAAGAAATGGTCATCAGGGTTTGTTCCAAAAGGAGTGTAAACGCAAAAACTGTCTTGATTAGCTTTATCAAGAGCATCTGGGTAATAACCTCTCTGAGATAAAAATGAATATCGTAATTCATAGTTTCCCGACGGAACATTAACTGTGCGCGACCCATCGGAGGGAAGAAACTGTGCAGAAATCCTAGAAAGCCTAGTTATAGCCACTTCAGAATCCCTTGTTATACCCAGCTGATGGAATTGATCTCTAGTTTCCCCTTCTTCGTCATCTGAAGAAGCAGGTGAGAATACAGGGATCTCAGCTGCTTTCACATTTTCAGTTTCTTTGACCTCTACATCTTTGGGTGCACATATTTCACCAATACAAGCCCTTGAATAAACACAACCCATTACTGAAAACTACAAACCGAGAGAAGTCCAGGTATCAAAATTGCCAAAAGATCCATCATATCTTTAACAACCTTTTTCGAATCTAACAATTAGTTGAATCTGTGAAATCCACAAACCACAGTCAATCATGGACTCCTTCACCAATGACAACCCCAGATCCAGAAAGGTCTAGCAATTACTGAGTTGTTCACCTAAAAGCAAATTCAGCAGGATTAACATCATATCTGAGAAATTTCATTAGATTTAATGTGGGCGCGTTGCTAATCAAATTCCAGTTCTGAGAATGTAATTGTAAGCAAAACTAAAAACCTCCAATTCAACTTCAACAATTAATCAAATGTATTACAAAACCCACAAAGCAGTCACTGAACTCAGCCAAACCACCCCAAATCAAGAATTTCAGAAAACATTTTTTTTTTTGCCTTCAATAGGTCTATCAATTACTGGAGGATAGTGCTCGAAAATGAAAATTCAATAAAAGCAATGCCAAATCGGATGAAATGCAAGAGTGTCGATCAGACACCACCAAAACATTGTCTATTCATATTCCTCAACATATCCCAGTTTTGAGAGCATATACATAGAGTCAGACAAAACCCAGAAAACCCAAAATACAAATTCAAGAAAACTCTTAAAGGCATTTTAATTTAATTTGAAAAGATACATTTGCAATTACGTTCTTGATCTATAGTTCTGAACAGCAGTTAATTGTGAAAACACAGTGGTTAAAAAATCACATATAATTGTGCATAAACGTACAGGTACACAATTATTGTTTTTAGAATAAAATGAAGATGAGAAGACCGTGCTTGAGAATTTAGAGAAAACTACTGAATTAAGAAAGTTAAAAACACCAGCAGACCCAGTTTGCAGAATCCACTGAGGTGTACTCTTCTTCCTCGGCAGCTTCGCGGGACGCAGGGATCGTAGTACGCACAACGGGAGCCGATCGGATAGAAGATGGGGTGGAGTGAGCTTAGCGCGTAAGTAATAGGAGAGAGAGAGAGAGAGAGAGAGGAGCAAGTGTTCTGTAGAACGATTATATGTCAGAGTAGGAGCGAGTGTGTAAATAACTCTTGGGAGAAGTTATTTATCGATTTACGATAATTTTAAATTTATTTATTAAATTATAGTAATTTTTTTTTAAAAAAATGAGATCGTTCGTTAATGTGGAAACACGTGGTTGAATTGTGTGAAAGGAAAAATATTTTAATGCAACAGTGATAGCATATTTTCTTCTCTGGAGGTCGTGGACCACGCGCTTTGAAGGCACGCGCCTCCGTTGTTGACTGACTGACTGACCGACCGAAAATGGGACCCACACCAACAGAATTAGACGCAGAAACAGCGAACAGCGTAAGCCATTAAATCCTTCACTTATATGGGTCGGGTAAGCAACTCCTCCCACCGGTCAACGAGTCAATTCGGGTTTAATCCTTCACTTGTAATATGATTTTATTTCGAGTGCCATCTTCTTCTTTTTTGTTTACAAGGTGTTTAAATTTTTCCTAATCACTTTCTCGAGTTTTGAATTAATTATTGTAACTTGATTTGATTTAAAGATATGTTCTTTAAAAAATAAAGATAATTGACCCTTAAGAAGTTTGAAAAATATCGAAACTGAGACTTCTTATTTACAAGAGAACAGACTTGATCAATCGGCCTCTCATATTGAATTTGATTTTGCACAAAGTGAAATACAAGTTTAATTCAAGTAAAAATTCAGTTGTTATATTGAAGTTTTGCAATTAGAGTTTGGATTCGAATTAGACCCAAGACCTAACCCGTGTGTTGTTACTTGTTAGAAATCACTCAAACTTGAGATTCTTTTGATCAAATTCAACTTGAATGTTGAAATTTCCTACTCAAATACTGACTATTTTTATCTCATATTTCACCGTCCACCACATTGTCCATAGCTTTTTTGACCCATGGCTTTGTACCTCTATATCTCTCCCTTTCCATCTTCCTTGTCATAGTGGTCCTTGCAAATGCAAATATGTATATCTTTTTCTCTTGCATTTTTGGTTCCTCATCACAATCTAAGCCTCCTTCATGGCTTTTTAAAATCGATTTGGGTATTTAAGTTTTTTGTGGCTATATACCATATTTTCTAGAATGATCTCTTGGGACTAAATAAATTTTTTTTTTTAAATCTGAGTTTATACATTAGAGTAATCTATATCAAATCAAAATTTTAACTCATATTTGAATAAATGTTTGAATTAGAATTAGAGATAGCGAGTGTGAGTGAAATTATAGATTTTAAAGTAAAAGATAAATTGAATTTAATCTGAATTTTGATTAGAGAAATTGAAAAGGAGTAGATAGCATAAACCATTCAAAACTCTAACCGACTTCTAGATGTCTCTCTCATTAGGTAAAGTCGGTATATACAAAATGCTTTCATGCTCAACAAAGGGTTCAAGGAAAGAATATACTAACCATATTAGCCTAAAAATAAACAATCTAACATACATTTTGATCATTTGTCCCTTTAAATATAGTTTTTTTATCTTCTTTGTACAAGTCATGTTGTTATTTACTACAATAACGTTATATTGACTATTTTTTTATATCGTTTTTATGTACTATTTTAACATAGATTATTAGATTAATACGTTCTACAGAGTTTATTAAATATTCAATAACTCTGATTGTATCATATCAGGTAGTGTAAAAGAGATGGTGCACAAACATAATGTCTACAACATTATTCTATTTGCTAAGGTGATATAATTAATCATAATACTTTTTATTTTAAGAAGTCATGCCGCTCTTTGCAAAGTGCTTCAAATTTTATAAAAATGTGAATTTGGATGGCTTGAATTTGTGCATTTTAGGGGTGTAATGTAACTCGAGCATGTTTAATGGATTTAAAAGGTTAATATGGACTCAACAAAAGTTACAAAAGTTAAACGTAAGGAATTAGTTTAGTGATAGTTTGATCACTTAATAGATTTCTTTAGGCGTTCACCCTCTTGGGGCCACTGTCCATAGATTTATCCGTTGTGTGGAGAGGCAATTTTGCACAAGACCCATCACTAATTTGACGAGTGAGCGGAATAACGCAATGTTGTGATTCACTCAAATAACTGGATTACCCAAAAAAAAAAAGTTATCCAGTTGTGATCCACTAGGATAACTGGGTTACCCAAAAAAAAAAGTTAAAAAAGTTTTAATCTAAAGTAGGTTTGTCAATGGATCGGGCTTTAGATCAGATTTTGATTGATCTGAATCTAAATTCGATTTTAAAAGTTTGATATGATAATCCGACAAATTTTATTTTTGTGATTCATATCTGAATCCGTTAACAGTCTGAAATCTGATTCGATTTACTTAATTAACTAAATTTTAACAAATTACACTTACATTTCAACTAAAGTAGTACCTGCATTTAAATGGGGTTGAAATTTTTTGTTCAAATTTATTTCTAGTTCTAAAAAAACTCTTTCCAAAAAATATATATTTTTTAGATTGAACTTGGATTGAATCTAGGTTAACTCGATCAAGTTGAACTCCAACTAAAATCTAACCCAAATTTGTCAAACGGTGAGATTGGTGCAATCAGGATTGATTTGTATATCTAAGGCTCTAAATTTGCTAATTTGGACAAATATTCATCTTTTATGGTACTAGATGGCTGGCATAAATAATAGGTATGACTTTCAAATAGCACCATAATAATTTACAAGTCTATCCACAGAGAGGACTCAAATCCAACACCTTCATGAGGCTGAAGTGGGTTGATGAAATGAAAGTGATGCTTTTCAAAATGAGCAGGCCCCAAGTACTATCCTTAATTATTCTGTATTTTATGTATACAATCATTCCTATCCTTTTATTAATTACCACAGCCATGAATGCACACCCAACCTGAAAAGAACTCCCAAGAGATTGAAAAATGCCACCTACCCTCACCCATGATCACATAAGCTTGATAAGTGCTCCCTTTTGCTATTGGGTTCCCAAGAAGCTTTTTTTTTTTTTTTGGATAATGTGGTATTGTTTCGACCCGTCTCGCTTCTTTTAAACACATAGTTGTAAATTGTGCTATAAACTTATTCAGAAGTTATGTGCGTTGGTTAAATTTGAATTGATTTACGTCTCATCTCTTGTTTAAACCACGAGAGCAACCGGTGTGGATGAGCCCAATAACCAAATTGGTTGCCTTTAGTTTTATATTCTCAACTGCATTGAAAACTTTGAAGGAGCAATCATGCAAGCATATGGTGGGCAGCTAATCACCCCTCTTTTCACATTGAACTGCAAAAATTATTCAATGAACTTTTGGCCAATAGACCAACAAAATTCAATACCAGCATTTATGTTATTCAATTGATTGAGCTACTGACCTAATTGGGAGTTTTTCTGTTAACGTGGACGGATTTAAACGTCCTTTATTTTAAAAGGGTCTAGATTATTTTATAGGAAAAAAATATGAGTAATAGTATTAATCGAGTCAAACGGTACAAGTAATTTGATCACTTACGAAAAGAAAAAGGCTCCCACATTAAAAGGAAGAGCGGCACATCAACCACCCATAGCTGGATTGAGCATGTGATGTATGACATCTCATGTTACATTTGGTACATATTAAGAGCATAATTTCAATTCTTGAAGATGATGTGTCTGAACCAGTCTCATCAAGAGTATCCACCATAGAATGAGAATAATAGATTGCCTAAATCTTTATGCTGATTACCTACATGCCCATCTTCATCTCGCGACAGTCTGAACAAGTGCTTCATTTAGAGGTATAAAGGAGTCGAGTCGAGTCGAGTCGAGTCGGGTGATAGTTTGCTTGAATTTGACTTGTTTATCACAGGAGTTGAACATGAGTCGATACCAAATAACTTAACTTTTTATGTAATTGTGGAAAAAAAAATCAAGGTCAATCGATGATAAAGAATTACCAAGTTTAAAAATGCGCTTAAAATTAACTACTTTATTATTCAAAATAATCTCTTAAAAAAATTTAACGAGTCAAACCTCAATTCAACTTGATAACTAACATTAATTATATATTCAAGTGGCCATCCAATGAAAAATGGTGCAATAGTAGCAAAAGAGGAAGGAGTTATTGATCATGAAAAATATAATTTTATAGATAAAGGTTCTCTTTTTTTTTCTTTTTATTTTATAGACGAAGTTATAATATTTTCATGTTATAATCATGAAACATTGTGATCGAACACAATCAATCATAATTTTATTTTTTTAAAATGAAATTTAACTCTAAAAACGGTGCATTCTCGTGAGGTGAGGTTTGTAAAGGAGATTGCTCAGCCAAGGAGCTGGGTGGAGGAGGGGAGGAGGAAGAAAGAGAGCGCCTGGGAATAACGCGCCACCCAATGGAGAACCAAAAGTTATTAGTTGCGGCCAACCTAGCTTTCTGCAACCTTACCCATTACTGGTAGGGTTCATTTCATTTCACATCAACTCCACATAAGTGAACTACATAACAATAATGTTACACGTATTATAATGTTACACGTACCATCTTTTTGCACCACTTTTATACACTATTTCAACATAAATTTAGTGAATTTTATTGAATTCAGTAAATATTTAAAGATTGAGATCATATCACATCAAGTGATTTAGAGAAAATGGTGCACGTATCATTATTAATTATTGAATTATCAACTTTATTACATCACACGACTCTTAATTTCACCATTTTTTTTGTGGGTACGAACAAATTTTCATATAAATTCAATTAAAATTTGAAGTTGATTAATTACAGATGGATTGAGATTTTTGATTGATTATTAAAATTTGAGATCGTTATATATTTTTTTATAGATTCGGATATAAATATATCAATATACAATTTGATTATGATTTGAACTGAAATTTGCTGCAACTTTGCTTTTGTGGGTTATCCCACTCTGGTCGAGTATGGGATCATAATTTTTAACTGTGAAATAAATTTTTTTGAATATTCAGATCACGAGTTATATGAAATCTGATTCAAATTTGAAACAATTGAAATTCGATATAAATCTGATATGTTTACAAAAGTTAGTGACGAGGCTTTGATTGGACTTAAAAGTTGAGGCCTTGCAACTCGATCCAAAGAGATAGGAGAGTCCATGTTCACATCATCCTTTGGGGAACTTGGTAGACCTTGATTATTTTAAAATTAACAGAAAAAAAAGGGCCTAATTTAGGAAATCTTCTTCTTCTTTCTTGTATGGGGTCAAGGTTATGTTTATCACAAGTCACAACAACCTTTTCTAGACAGACTGTTCATGTAGTCAAGGTTGAGAGGATGACAAACAGATGGTCACCATCATCCAAATAATCGAATAACAAATAATGTAATTTCAAAGGGTAATTTAAGTGCTAACGGGAATGAGCTATAAAGTTAAACGTCTTGAATTTGAATCTTGACAGCTCCTTCGAGTCAAGCCATGAGAGATTTGATCGGCGTGGATGATTTGGCTTTGATCGGACTGAAAAACAAATTAATCGATGAATCGATGTGCACATAAATTAATCCAAACACATTAAATCGTGGAACCAAAAAAAAAAAAAAAAAGAAATAATGTGCCCACTTACCACCTTGTATAATTCCTTAGCCCAAACAGGTTGGTTTAATAGTCGAATAAGAAACAATGAGTCCATTGTCACGTCTTGAATTTGAGTTTTTTTGGTTACATAAATTCAGAATTTAACTGATATAGTTGGTTAGCCGCAATTATGAATCCAAAAAATTATTGATTAAAAATATTCCCCGTTAAAAGAAATTACATAATCTTGAATTTGAGATCATGGTCCAATTTAGATTGCATACAGCTTAATTGTAGTAGTACCAATGCCTAATTTATGCAGAAGTTCATGAAAATGAATGCAGTCGTAAATCACTTTGTGGCTAAAAACTTTAAACAACATAATCTACTGCATGGCAACCATAAAAGGTGAAGTGATTGAGTTAAACGATCCGAGTAATTCGAGTTCGATTTGTTCAAATTTTGAAATAAATCAATCTTTTATTATATTTCTCAACTCGTACTGTAAATAAGTCAAATTCAAATAACATATTAAACAAGTTGAATTCGAATATGGCATCACTCGGGTCAACTCGAGCTCAAACATATTCTTGTTTATAAATTAGATTTTACAAAACATTACTCGATCTAAATGATGAACAACCTCAAACTTACTCACAAACCACTCCATCTCATAGGCATTCCCTCCTTTCATCTCTTCTCTAATAGATTTTGGAAAGAAAAAAAAAATTAAAATCCACTCGAATGCTTATACTCAGTTTGAGTATTATGGTGCAAGTGGATAAACAAGATCATGTGCTAGAAAACAGTGTGGCTTGCCTTTTCGGATGCAATGACTGTTGTATGAAGAAAATGGTTCAAATAAAATTGAGACCACATGGAGATGGGTCAATCTCTGCATTTTGCCTACTCCTTATCTCAACTCTCAAACAAAATCTGCCATTGCAGAATTATGTTGTTACCTTTATCAACACCTGGGTCAGCAACCCTTTGCTACTTTGTTAAACTTAAAGGGTTACCGAGGTACCCTAGTTTCACTTTTTAGTATCGTAATTTAGTTATCAAGGTGAAATTATGACACAATCTGGTGAATTTGTAATACACACAAAAAAAAAAAAAAGAAGGAATTATTTAGGATCAATTCTGACATTTTTTTTGCAATTCAGTTCATTTAAACCAACATGTTTGAATGATTGTGAGCTCTACCCAGTTGATCAGTTCCATTGAGCAATTCGTCCCATCTTCGTTTCAATCGGCTCACTTATATAACAATTTTACATATAGATTTTTCGAAGATTCAATGATACATGTACTTCAGTCAATACATGAATCAATCACATGAGAGATGGGCAACCAATGTTCTAGTCCACGAAAAAGGCCTTTCCGAACGTGCTTGAAATTTCAAGGCTCAACCTTGGACAGGTGGTGGTAAAAACTACCAAGTTAAAATACGGCAATGGTAAAAAGAATTTCTGGTGGAGCAGTGGAATTCATCAAGATCGAAAAGAACAATGACAAAGACACTTCTAGGACAACACTGACACTGAGCGACAAAAACAAAGGGAGCAAATGGAATTAGATATCCTAATAGTTCTAGTCATAACTTGTTTAGAATTTTATCTTCATTTTTTTTCTATCATAAATTTATGTCGTCGAGTCTAAACTGCCATTTTTAGTCATAACCTGACTCACGATGGATTATAACTAATTTTTATTTACTTCTTTATCCCAATACAGTAACTTGGGCTACACCACAATCTTACATTAAACTTAGAACCGTAAAAAGACCAATATAAAACGTTAGGTGTCAAATACTAATTTAAAAATTTACGAAGTTCATCCTACCAAGAGCTCACCTTGACAGATGAACCCAAACCCAAACCCAACCCAACCCAACCCAAAATATATAGTACATAACAATTTTTTGATACTCAGATTGAGCTTAGGTAAAAAATATTCAACCCAAATTGGGGTCCACGCTTTATGGGACCAAACCTGAATTCCAGCTAGAATTAAATCCATTTCAATCTTATTCGAACCTCATTTTCACCTTAATATCAACCCGTCTTGTGTAATCCGAGTTCTAAGGTTTAGAAATGGGCAGTACACGGCTATACTTCATCGGGTTTGATTGAGCTCATATTGTGTTTTAAAACTCAGGATTGATCCTGGACTGACCTCTGAACCTGCTCGGCTTGCACCCTTACCACCACATGCCAACTAGCTAGCAGATTTCTAATGCCAGACACCCTATCCCTACACAGCATTTTTGAATGTACCACTCAATGTTCTTCCCATGCCCATCTTAGCCCATATGATCTTGCAAATGGGGTCATCAAACCAATCACTGCCCAAACTTGCCCACACAACCACGGACTCATGCCATTCTCAACCCTACTCTGCTACTTAGACCAAACATCCCACATAGTTACGAGCTCATCCTCTTACTGCAATCCACAATAAAACAATTTAGAACTGGAAGAACAAAGTGCACGACAAAAGAACAAAACCAATCAGCAGGGCATGCATTCTTCAGGGAGGTATGACTATACTTGATGGGTTCATGTTCGCAAAAACTCCATCCACCACAACCCCTGAGCAGAAACAGAACAAAAAAAGACTGTCAGTTGTGTAAATGTAAAACGGCCAAATGATGGAGGCATTGAGATAAATTTCAATGCAGCCATAGGATCAACAGAACTATATTGTGCCCATCAGCCACAATATAACATGTAAACTTTTTCTGGCTGGTCCTCTGTGTCTCGGAACATTCACCCCTGATATCGGGTTCAATTCATCACGATACCATTTCTACAACGTATCCAATAACAAATACGACTACTCATTTTGGAATACCTAAGTTAAGGGCTCAAAAATTATACCTTAAAAAGGTGAACACCCCCCCCCCCCCCTCCTTTCTTTCCCTTCTTTGGTTTTCCTTTCTGCCCAAAACAAAAACTAAATAATAACCTATGCATTCAGATGAGAAGGAATTGGAGGAGAGGGATGATATAAGGGTAAAGGATATGAACCTCGGAGACAAATGCCCCACAGCTATTTGGCAAACCAAGTGATACCAACACAAGAAAACTAAAGCTCATATGATGCTGTGAGGCCCATGTGAAGCTGTCATACGAACTTCCAAATCTAAGCATCTGGCAAATGTATATCCAAAAACCAGTTCAAAAAGCAAAAAAGCATGAACACATACTGAGAAGTGAGAAGTGAGACGTATGACCATATTCCATGTTTCAGTTGGACCAGCACAAATCCAAGCATACCTGACCATTTAGTTGTCCACAAACCCCACCAGTGAGGATGACCATAATAGAGAACGCATTGCTACCCCAGTTGGGATTAACCACACTCCCAAAAAATTCTTCAGCTACATTCAAAGTGACATATGATACACTAAACCACCTGTCTGTCTTCCCCTTTTCTGCAGCTTTACCATATAAACACTAGATTATGTCAAGGGAAAGACAGATATTCAGGATCAGATTCTTCGCCAGTCACATTCAGCCCAAACCCCTTTGGCCCATCCTTCCATCTTCCGCAGCTTTGACAAGCTGCTGGATCAGAGCATAAGCAACCAAAATGAGGGAGCACAAGTATTGGTAGCAGTCTCTTTAGAAATCCAGCAATTTTGACTGTAAAATATCTCACCCAGTCATCCTTCCTTAACCAGTTTCATAAATTATTCTTAGATAAGATAAGATGTAAAGCCTGTTCCTTGGACACTCTGAAAAACACAAACAGAACTTATGTTTACCACAACACAAATAAATCGGAAGATCAAATGTTTCCTTCTTCACCTGCCCACAGTAGAAGACACCCTCTTCTTCTCAGGAATAATAGCAGGCGGCTGCATTGTTTTGTTGAGATCATGGCTATCTTCATATAACATTCCCCACCTACCTCCACCCTTGCGAGACACCATCCAGCCAAAGCGAAAATCCTGCAAATTGCAAAGGTGAACTCATAATTGAGAGGCTCACTCACAATACCTTTACAATATAATAATCAATAAGCCACATCTTTTCCAAAAATATGAGATTTGATAAGAAACTGCAAGAAATAAATTATGATTTAAGAATAAAACTTTAAATTGAAACTAAAACTAACAAATCCCATAACCATATGACAGCTGGACGAACCATGAATCTTACGATGAATGATAATGAATAGATGCAATAAACAGCAAGACAATACACACAAAAACACACATATTTGTGTGAAAAAGGGAAGAATTCTCTCCCGACTTGATCCGTGCATATTGTATTAGAATTGGCTATGTAATTCCGAGAAGGAAAAAGTTGATTTAAGAAGCATCATCAGCAGAAAAAAAGTTCTATCATAGAGGAAGTTGTGAAAGACATTTTCGCGTGAAACAGTATATGCTCTTTAATAGAAAGTTTAAGATATTGACATCTGAAATATTAAAATTCCGAGCTTCATTCAAATCAAGCAAAATCCAGTCACCAACATCTTCTTGTTCCTGACCCAGAGATAGGGTCTTTGTCCAGAAATACAAAGCAATCAAATTACAACACAGGCAACCGACAACCACGAACCAATTGAAAGAAACAATGTTGACAACCACCATATTAACAAAGGTAACTGTATGATCTGTTGAGAAGAATTAGGTAAAACACTTCACTTATCATTCATGTTACATGGGACCATAGAACAAAAGTTGCTGCGAGTAATTTGTAACATCTATGCACGGCACAGGAACCAAGCTCTGATCTGTATTCAAGGATCAACCAATGCATTCATAGAGGAAAAATATCTAACCCGAGCTTCAAACCATAGAGTAGTGCAATTCACATTCGTAGCATGCTTGCTCCTCCATAGATGATGCATCACTTAACCTTGTCGGCCAACACTGGGCGGTCTGTATCAAAGAGTTAGACATTGGATTTGGAATAACCTTGAACCTTTGGAACGCAAGCTGGTAACAGAGGACAAACTTGAAATATACATAAAAAATGGCACATCCGCACATGATGCATCTCCAACATTTTGACCGGATCTGTCATACAGCATAAATATGACGGGGTTTTTGGTTAAAAAACTCAACTACTAGAAATAATGATGGAAGTATTGTGAATAGCACAGCCCAAAAGAGACAGAAAAGATTGCTTGAGTTGGATGAGATTACCATGTGGATCACTTGGTGGAAGAAATGCGGCGTAGGGAAGATATCCAACTGCTTGAAGGACCAATATTGTCACTATGCCCTTGATCAGGGTTTGTGGTATCAGCAGGCAACCCTGGTTTTGAGGCATTTCTTTTTGGTACAGGAGCAGGAGAAAACGAAGTAGATGGCATGCGAGCACTGCTAACAATCTGCAGAATCAACATTTTACGTTAAGTATCCAACTGAGCATAATGATAACAGCCCAGGAAAAATGGCAATGTCACAAAAAATGAGTTGCATCATATTTGAAAAAATCCCAAATTTAACAACATTGTCATACCACCATCTTGTTGACGAGAGTTTACATTAATTACAAGTAACATTTTTTTTCTAGTTCAAACACAATGACATAACTTACATTTCTCTCAAGGGGATTGTCAGAGCTTATGTTCCTTTCTGGTGGGTATTTAAATTGCATGCGAATGCGAGGACTAACGGGATTTGTTGTTGACGAGAGTTTACATTCATAACAAGTAACATTTTTTTTCTAGTTCAAACACGATGACATAACTTACATTTCTCTCAAGGGGATTGTCAGAGCTTATGTTCCTTCCTGGTGGGGATTTAAATTGCATGCGAATGCGAGGACTAACAGGATTACTTGATCTCATTCGTTCTGTTACCTCAGCTGGATAAGTAGCATTGTTGCCTGTGGACATTTAACAAGGAACAAATCCTAATTTTAGTTTCTTTAGAGTCAAAAAGTAATCAAGTATTCACCCCTCAAAAAATATAAACTTTTCTGGCCTATTTGCTAGGCTGAGAAACAACTTATGGTGACTGGCTTTAAAAATTGACCAATTTGGCAAATTTTTCAGGTATCTTTTGTTTCTCATTTTGAATGCATGATCCAGCAGAGGACAATAAATTCTTTCAACTCCAGGAGTTCCTTGAAAACACGCGAAACAGGATGAGCAACTGGAAACAGTTGAAATTTCTCAGAAGTTTGCTACACCATTCTTCTACTCATGGAAAATAACTTTATCAAGAAGCACACAAGTAGGATCTAACCTTGATGCTTGTCCACGTCCATTTGCACAGCTCGACTGCTGCTCTCCCCAGGGACTGGCTGTAAAATTCAACAGGAACATTATATCCCATTTTCATGCTGGAACTTTTACATTCATGCAATAAATATAGAAGTATAAAACTAAGCTCTGAAAAATTGCTTAGAAAACATTCATTATATCAAATTTGTATGCTCCTCCATGTAACTGATTGGAGTAAATTTAAGAAAATAACTTCCAGAAAAAGGAATTAAGAAACCAAGTAGCAAGAATACTGACTGATACATGTGGTCGAGTTTTACTCTTTTGTGCCTGTTGGTACTTTAGGATGGTCCAATCGAATATGTAATCAAATTCATATCCTGCAAGACAAATAAATAAATAAATTAACCACTTAGGTGCATAAAATTGATGATAGGTGACAAAACCTAGAAATAAAACTAGGGTGGCAATATTGTTGTGTTGTGGCGTGTTTCATGTCGGGCACTAGTCAACCCTAACCCAACCCATTCAACTAATCATTTTGTATCAACCTGACCTGTTTATCTTTGTGTAATGTTTGTGGTTGTATTTAAAGAGTATCTAAAAAGTGAAGTAACCTTTAACAGTACACACAAAGTGACTATCCTCACATTCAAACCCCCAAACTTAAGGATCCACCACTACATTTAAACTTTTCAAAATAAATACGTGTAGGCATACTTCTAAAACCCAGCCAAAATAATTTTTATAAAGCCTTTCCGTCGCAAGTTAACCAATCTATTGAGCTTCAGGGTCGCATGACCTCTCAAGGGGCCCATTGAGGGGTTCATACACATATATGCACACACACACAGATACTTTAGCCTATTTTTTTATAATGGCACATACATTGTCATATGGATGATCCACACCAAACATTTAGATACTGGCTAAAAAGCAAGATTGTATGATTCCATTTATGTGCATAGTAAGGTACTGGACTTTGGAAGCAAATACCTTCACGAGTAAACAATTCTCGGAACAGGCGTTTCAAAAATCCATAATCAGGCCGTTGTTCAAATGTCAGTGAGTGGCAATAATGGAAGTATGATGCAAATTCCACCGGATGAGACTTGCATAAAACCTTCAGAAAAATGGCATTCACAATACATAAACCACAGAAATAGAGCAAAGACTGAAACTGTGAGCAGATAGATGTATGGAATTTAAGTACCTCAATAGGGGTTGATAACTTCTTCTCACATATTTTGTCATACTTTTGCTTCTTTGTGGCAGCTTTTAAACCCTGCCATGGAAGGCTGTACACAATTTGATGGGCCAGTCAAAATTCAAAAAATAATCCAAAAGAAAAACAAAGGTCTAGAGGCTATGCACACATGTATTTTTACCTTTTTAACATTAACAAATTTTCATGCAACATCCATACTAGCATAAGAATGAATTCAACAAAACATAGTTACAAAAAAAAAAAAAGATAAAAAACACTGAAGAAGAAGTGGCATACCTTCCTCTCAGGAAATATAGTAGTACATAACCAAGAGACTCTAAATCATCCCGCCGGCTTTGCTCTACAAAGAAGAGACCAAAGGAGGTGAATAAAATGTCCTCAAGCCCAAATCCACCCCCTCATAAAGAATGCCAAAAATATAATTAAAAATTGAACATTTGATGCTCACCAATTCCAAGATGAGTGTTACAACTGGCATAGCGCGCCGTACCTGTCAAATTTTTGTTCTCCCTGTACAAGACAACAAGAAAGCACAAGATACTGTTCACTATGAACCATTACACAGGAATTGAAAGTGTGAGTAGAGATGCATTACTTCTACCAAAATGAATCAATTTGCACAAGTTGCAAACGACATTATATAAGATAATAGAGAGTAACCAAATCGTCAATACTATATTGTTTCCAAATTTCAAATGAAGTATCCATATAGTTTTGTTTTCCCTAGAATCTACACGCACAACGTACAGATCAATAAAGTATAGGAGAATTAGAAAACCCAAATCGAACTGCAACATGATAGAGTCGACATCATGGGAAGGAGATCTCTAAAGTCGAAAAAGGTTCACCACAAGTAGACTGTAAACTGGAGAGTTACCTGTAAGGAATATGTCTGTTGGTTGTTGCATCTCGATATCTTTTTGCGAGCCCAAAATCAATAATGTAAACCTGATAAATGCAATAAAAGGACATGAATGATAAGAACTACTATAATAAAAAAAAACAAGTCATAAAGAGTAAGGCTTCCAATTGTTATCACCTGATTCGCTTTCCGACCAAGACCCATGAGGAAGTTATCAGGCTTAATATCCCTGTGCAAGAACCCTTTAGAATGCACATATTCTATCCTTGTCACCTGGAAGAAAAGAATGGAGTGGAAATAAGATGAGTGTATGGTAACCAAGTAATTCCTAAATAAAATGAAAAAGGTCCAAAATTCAAATGAACACTATGCCACATAGCAAAAATAAAACAAACTTCTTGAAATAAACATGACATGAATCCTAAAAGCTTTATTACATAAATGTGTTCAACCTTTTATCCGGAACAGGGACAACTTAAACAGCAAATTACATGGCCCCTCGGCTTAGTGAACCATTGATCCATCAACAAATCAACATATAAGAATTTGTAGTGCATTATGATGAAAAATAATGATTACCATTTGATCAGCCAACATTAAGACTGTCTTCAATGAAAACTTCCTACCACAATAGACAAACAAATCTTCAAGACTTGGTCCTAGCAAATCGAGGACTAAAACATTGTCATCCCCATCTATGCCAGACCACATTGTGCCAGGTATACCACCTAAAAGATTAACCAATTGCAAAATCAAAAGGAGCGAAATACAACCAAGCATCTATGCACAAATATCATAAATCACAAAACATTTTTATTTCATATGAAACATACTTCCTCCCTGAAGAATATTGTATAGTTTGGCCTCATATAGAAGCTGTGGATGCTTTGTTTTATTGTTCTCCTGCAAATTAACAATAAAGAATACTAGTTACAACAAATCCAATTGACAAAGGCACTAGGATAACGCAAAAATGAGACAATTATAACATACGACCCAATCTTAATAAGAAATTATCTAGAACTAACAGATCAGAGAAATCAAAAAAATTGACTCAATGAACAATTCTGAGAAAAAAAGATAAAGGCTTACGATCTTCACAGCCACGATCTCGAAAGAATCGATATGCGTAGCTGCATCATACAAAATCAGATGAAACACACAATAATCAGCAGCCATCAACCACAGTTCAAACTCGATTTCCAAAAAATTATTCACAAAATCAATTTTACAAATTGATAGAGTATGTATAATAAAATACATGTAACTCACCGAGATAGATTTCACCAAATGATCCACTTCCGATTTTACGGCCGAGCTTGTATTTACCTCCAACGATCCTTTCCATTCTTCAGATCGACGGTTTTTGATCAGTCTTTCAGATCATGCACCGAACCTAGGATCTAATCAGAATTGGAGTGATTGGAGAGAAGGAAAATTTTTGCTTCTAATTTTCTCGAGAAACTGAAACCACAAACGGGGGATTCCGGAAAATGAGACGACAGAGAAAGAAAATGAAAGGGTTTGATGATATGTACAGTGCTTTAAGACTCGCGAGAGTTGGGCGAGAGAAGAGGATAACGTAGACAAAAGACGAGTGGAGGGTAAGTTTGGAATTGCGTACATAGGGTTGTTGACTCGTTGACTTTAATGAAGGTTTGTGATAAAGAATCTCTCTCCAAACACGGCTTTCATCCGTACTTGCTGTCTAACCTAAACTCTACATACCAGCACTTACGGGCATATTTTCATTTCTTTTTTTCAAATTCTTTTAATGGAATATCAGCTATGGCGAGTCTCTTGTCAATAACTAAGAGATCTCCATACTATATTATAAGAGATCTCCATACTAGTCAACTATCTCTATCACGCACAACGATTGAACGAAAACTCAATCGTTGAATATTATCTACTCTTAATTAAAAGATATTCAACATTGTTTTGATATATTTATTATCATATTTAATCTAGATATTGCAACCATTATGTATTATCCCTTGGTTTTGAATCCCAATGCCCCACCAAAATTAGTGAATTTTCTTATTGTCGTGACATTGCTACGCTAGACCCTGACGGGGACTAGGACGATAGTGACACTTGTCATCCTTTTTTTTTTTTTTTGGGATACATTAGAAAATCTAACTAAAACTAAAATGATCTCCTAAAAAAAGAGGTAGCTAAATTTGAGTTAAGAAGCCCCCCAATTGTGAAGGAGGGGTTTCCAGTTCTACCAATGGCTCCCATCGAAAAACTCCCTGTATTTGCGAGCAAATTTGCACATTGGTTCCCTTATCTGAGGGTGTATGTAATAGGGATGTTGTTCTCTTCCCTCGGGTGTTTGCATTTGACAATTAAAGCTCTGTTGGGATGAGAATTCTGGATGTTGCCTGTGAGTAGATTAGTGGCCTCAAGAGAGTATGTTTTCCACCATTACCATGCTTATCCCTTTTGCTTCGATGATCTCTAATCCTTTTTAAGATTGTCAAAGCTCCACTTGTATGGTGAGACTTATTGTTTAAGATAAAGTGGAACCGATGTGAACCACAACCACCTTCATAAGATGGTTCATGAAGGTGTATTTCGTATCTACTATATTTATATTAATTTTCATATCGAAATGATATAACATGTTAAAACTTGTCAATTTTAATACAAAAAAAATATGTTAGAATCAAATTTAAGTTTTTGAAACTATGTTTTGTTTTGGGTAAAAATCATTCGGACCCCTGAGTTTTGTCTTAATGACACGGACACCCTCTCACATTATATTAATTACAGTGATACCCTCTATCATAAATGGAGTTAACAGATGTTGTATAATGACAAGAATAACCCCCCATTTTGCTGCATTATAATATTTCCAGTCAAACCTCAATGATTAAAATGACATAAATATCCTATCCGACTAACAAAACACTAAAAATCGAAACCTTTATTCTACAACTCGTCGTTTGCCCCCCCCCCCCCCCCCACACCACACACACAGATTCAACTTCTCTAGCCTAGAATGGGTTAGATCTGATATGTAAAACCCCAAATTTAGTGAGAATCTTAGATTCGATTCAAACCTCTAGCCCCAGCAGATTGAATAAAACCCTAAATTTCCATTTTAGAATCAACCATTGTATGTGTTTGAATCTAAGCATGTTCAAAACGCTGATTTACCCTAGATCTAACCCTTGCTCGCAACTTTTCAAATGTTTTCTGTAGCCCCCGTTATGCGTGCCTGAGCCTTGACAAATGAAAAGTTTTCCCAAGTGAGAATCTAAATTCTTGCAATCATAGGAATCAGAAGCGACACCTACAAGTTTAAAGTAACTCATGACTATTGCAGACTGATGGGCGTTGATTCTCTTGCAGCCATTGCTAAGTATTATGCCCTTTATGCGATTTTTTTTCTGTTTATTGAATTTTTGGTTTGATGTAAAATTGTAGTTGGGTTTTGTTTTTGAAATTTGGGTTGAATTATTCAAGTTTAGAAAAAAAAAAATGGGTGAACTTGAGCATGATATAGTTTTCCATAGTAGTGATATCGTTGGGATGATTTATGGAATAAACCAAGATGAGTACTGTCATATGGATTTGGAAGCCGATATTAACAAAGTATTACTTGGTGGTATACAACAAAATTTGGTGACATATAAAATCACTGTAAATAGGTCAAATGGTGATAAGAGAATGACAGTTGATGATGATAATTGTTTAATGGATATGTTTAATATGTATCAAGGCAATAGAGAGATACATATTTTTGTTGATGCTATATTTTTGTTGATGTTGGATACCAGGCTACACTCCCAGCTTCAAATGCAAATGTGGATGTAAATGAAAATAGAGAAGTTGATAATATGGTTGCAAGTGAAATGAAAACAAGGAAGCTGATAATGTGGAAACAAGTGGTATAAATGTAAAATCTGAGGTTGAAAATGTGCAAACAGGTGTTGTAAATATTCAATTTGAGGTTGAAAATGGGGAAACTGATTTGAGAGATGATGATAAGGAGGATGATATATATGATTTTAGTTTTAAGGATAAGGACTGGAGAGGTGATGATGTTCTAATTCTAGGAATGATTGCCAATATGTTTGGCCAATTAGCACGTGAAAATGTGATACAAGTAGTGATGGTTTCTCAGATTATCGATATGGGAATGAAGGTGGTATGATAGTAGTGATTTTGGTGATGTAAAGAATATGAATGATGATAGCAAGCGAAAGAGGAAATCCAAAGTGTATATGATACATTTGAATATCGGACTGGGTTTCATGTTGAGAATGGTAAAAACTCTGATTGGGATTTCTGTGTGGGGATGTTGTTTGAGAATGTTAGTCTTTTTAGGGATGCTTTAAGGGACTACATCAATAAAAAAGGTATCAAAGTGATTAGGAAGAAGAATGAGAGGACTAGGATCACATTGCATTGTGCTGCTGAAGGGGTGAAAATGGAGGATCCATGCATCACCTCTTCTGGACTAGGCTACATTTAAGGCGAAGATTTACAAAAGTGAGCATAATTGTATTAGGTATTGTTGAACATTAGAATTTTTCAACTAAAGGTTAGTACAAATTTGTTGGTGATGGGTGCAAGTTAGGTGTGAAATTTTTTCCATAAGCTATTTATTCATGACCCAAGTCATTGAAAGAGTCTTCAAGCTCATTTGTTACATTTTGGATGTGTTCCCATAGCCATGGTTAAAAAAATCAACCATGACTTACGTGAGGTCACAAATATCTCGGTCATATTCTAGTTGCAGCTGGTGTTTAAAGTTAGCAAATGGTTTATACACATGTTATGGGTGGTTACTTCAAGATAAACCTGCCCATCAAATTGTGGGATAAGTAGAAGGCCCACTACCTAGAACTCTGCTACTAGTAGAAGTTAAAAACGGTTGGCATATCATGGGAGAACCATCAATCATTCATGCAGCTTGACATCTAGCTCACTAAAATCTTATATTATTTAATGTTTGTCCTCTATTTAAAGGGCGAAAAGAAAACAAACAGAAAGAAAAAAGAAAACGAGGGAACAAAAGCAAGAAAAGAAGACGGTTAACAAAGAAAAAAGAGAAAAAGAGAGAAGGAAAGAAGGTAGCAAAGAAAAAATTTCTAAAGCTTGTGTTCAGGTAAAAAAATTCTGCTTACTCTTTCTTGAGGATTTAATCTTCTAAATTTTTTTTATGGCAGCAAATGGGTTCCAATCCACTTCAGCTTGAAACAATTGTACCGACTCTGAATCATTTAAGTTAAAAATCTGAAGAGTTTTCAACTCCTAAAGTTCAGATGACACAAAGGTCCCAAAAGCTCTATACCCTTCCCGACGAGAACCTTGCCCTCTACTTGGACCAAGAAAAATATGTTGGAAGTCATTCGACTTCTCTCAACAAAGGCAACTAATATAATCGAGCATGCACACAAAGTCAACAACAAAAATATTGTTGCAACTGCTGCCCAAATCAAAAAATCAGTTGCCCAAATAAAAAAATCTGCGACATAAGAAAATCAAGAAAGGTGGGGCATCAACAAGAGTCTTGGACTGTTTCAATTTCCAATGTTTTCGCCAACGTTTGCTGTCCTTTTGAGTCACTATTTAAGAGTCTCAATTATTTCATTGCGGTCTATTTCAGCGATCCCAGACCACTTTCAAGTCACAAATCGTGGGTGTTTCTAACTCTGAGTTCACGGCATAAGAGAAAAAAATGTTCATGAGTTTTAAACTTAGCCTTTGAACCGTCAAGAGTCTTCGACTGTTTCATCAAGCCTCAGAGTCTTTGACTCCTTTGTGAACGCACTCATATAAGAGCCTTTGACTCTTTAAAAATTGCATGAATCAGAGGAGTTTCTTACTCTATGTCATCCTCATTGGTGTATTACACTTACACCACCTTTGTTCCAACAAATGTAAAAAAAAATGATAGCAGCAAGTCTTGAGATCTTAGAATCCAAGCAAAATTTCTTGAAGCCACTTACCTAAAGAGTTTCTAACTCAAATCTGGTTTGGAGTCGTTGACTCCTTTACAGAACCAGTGGGCAATAGGAAGAGTTTCTAACTTTTTCGCAATTTGACTAAGCATAGGCCAGGCTAATATACAAGAAATTATTGGTTACCCAAGACTAGAAATATACCACAAACAAGATATAAACAAAGAGGATATCTTTATTTCTCTCTGAAAATAAAATACAAGAATTTATACAAAATTCTCACTGAGATCTCTTCCGAATCTCTCTCTCTCTCTCTATGTTTCTTCCTCACTGATCTTCCTATTTAGAGGGAGTTTTTGGCCAAAATATCAAGAAAGGAAGGGAACACATTTAAAGCCCCAGCAAGCTTTGTCAAAGCTTCAGTCGTCCAACTGTTTGGCCATCAAATAGGGTAGCTACTAGAGTGGGCTATAGAGTGATGGAGCAGGAAGATGGCTACTGCATAGGGTGGCTGGATCCTTCAGCTACTGCATAAGGTGGTTGGATCCTTAAATTCTCCCCCTCCAGAACCATCAGAAGAGAATGTAATCAGACATTCATACCGGCTAGTCTCTGCATAGCTCAAGCTTCTCCCTAGTAATGACCTTTGTCAACATGTTTGCTGGATTCTCCTTTGTGTGGATCTTCACTAGTTTTAGTAACTGTTGCTCCATCACTTCGCGTATCCAATGATAGCGAACATCAATATGCTTTGTTTGAGAATGGTACATTGAGTTCTTGCTCAAGTCCAAAGCATAATTATAAACTCAATCCACCCATGTAAAAAATATCTGAAATAAATAACTACCCACAAATGCAATTATCTATATAATAAAAATAAGTTCACAAATGTAGTCAAAAAAATAAATTTTATCATTGAAATTCCTCTCAACTTTCAAAAGAATGAACACAGTCTGTAAAAAAAATATATATATTTAGATGTTTTTCCATTCTCTAAAAACATACAAATATTTTTTTAATTCATCCACATCCAATTAATAAAAAGATTGAGAAAAGATATTTACCTAAAAAGTATCGCTTAATAGGTTTTGATGTCCATTGTTTCTCAGTTAAACCTCAACGTCTTCTAATGCTCATAAACAGAGTAAGTCATTTTTGATATCCTCTAACATATCCTCCAATTCTATCATATATAGGAAGTCATTCTCGAACTTTCTATGAATGAAGTCAATCGGCCACGAAGATGAAAGCGTGCTAACAACAACATACAACATAATTGGATGTCATTTGAAATTCCACCAACTTTCAAAAGAATGAATACAACCTGTTAAAAAAAAAATTGCATTTAGATGCTTTTCCATTCTTTAAAAACATATAAATATTTTTTTTTAATTCATCCACATTCAAAGAATAAAAAGATTGAGAAAAGATATTTACCTAAAAAGTATTGTTTCATAGGTTCTGATGTTCATTGTTTCTCAATTGAACCTCAACGTCTTTTAATGCTCATAAACAAAGTAAGTCATTTTTCGATATCCTCTAACAAATCCTCCAATTCTATCATATCTAGGAACTCATTCTCGAATTTTCTATGAATGAAGTCAATCAGCCACGAAGATGGGAGCATGCTAACAACAACATACAACGTAATTGGATTATTCAGATTGAAACCTTTATATTTAAGTTCGTAAAATAATGATTATTTCTTTTTTTATATGGTCTATGACATTTGATTGTGGATGAATTGGAAATTAGCTTGGATTTTATTTATTTGGTGTAATTGGTATCACTTATTTTTTTTATTGGTGATTAACTTGGGCTTTTTGTTTTTGTTTCTTGGGAGAATATTTGTATTTTTGTTTGTGTGGAAGTAGTGATGGTGATTAGATTGGTTTTGATTTTTTTTTGGGCCTACAATTGGTTTCAATTGTTTTGTTTTTATTGGTCACTTGTTATTTTTTTATTTTATATTTTTTGTTTGCGTGGAAGAATTGGTAATTAGCTTGGATTTTATTATATAGATAGAATGTTTGTTTTTTTGGTGTAATTGGTATTTTTTTTTGGGGTGATTAGTTTGGACTTTGTGTTTTTATTTTTTGGGAGAATTGCTTTGTTTTTATTGGTCGGTTTTCATTTTTTTATTGGTGATTTCCTTGTACTTTTATTTTTGGGGAATTATTTTGTTTTTACTGGTCACTTATTTATTTTTTTTTTTGTGTCATTGGTATCACTTGTTTTTCTTATTGGTGATTAGCTTGGGGGAATTTTTTTTAATTTTTTATTTTGAGAATTATATGTTTGCCTGTAGTAGATTTTTTTTTTTTTGTATAAATAATAGCTTGAAGGGTGAATTTATGAATTAGATATTAGTGATTAGATTAAATTTTATTTTGAGTCAACTATTTCTATCAAAAATTCAACTAAATTTCAAAAGAATGTGTGGAACCTGTTAATTTTTTTTATATTTAAGATTTTTCTCATTCTATTAAAGCATAGAAAAAAATAAAATATTTTCTCATATGGGTTTTGATTGTGGTCTTGTTAAACATGTAAATCTTAAGTAAATATGCAATTAAAAATGACAATACACATTTAACATATAACATTTTTGTATAATGATAAATTCATGTCAAAACATGCGCAACTAAACCAAGACAAAAATTAATTAAATAGAACAAATATTTTAATGATAATTACACAACAAATTTTTAATATGAATTAAAAAGAATAAATTCATTACTACTTACCTGGTGAAGAAGAAAATTCTTATTTTGGTAATGTGTAGCTATGTGAAAAAATAGAAATGAAATTGACAAAAATAATTAGTCAACATATCACATACACCATAATTGAAAATAGATTCAATTAGAATAGAAAATAAGTAAGCAAGGAAGGGAGTACTTACCATTATCAAAATTTTAGAGAGAGAAGAAACATGAAAACCAAAACACACATGAACACACAAAAAATATTTAGACAAACATGTGTGAACACTCTAAAAAAAAACCAAAACATACAATGGTACACACACATGAACACACTGGTAGACACATGAACATAAACACAGGCACACACATGAACACACTGCCAGATGCATGAATACACACATGAACACAAACATAGGCACACACAAGAATACACACACATGCAGGCACACATATGAACACAACACACACATGAACACAAACACACGCACAGTTAGAGAGAGAGAGAGAGAGAGAAAGAAAGAAGATTCAGAGGGAGATTT